ACCTTGGCCTGTGGCTAAACATGCTGGGGCAATCTGGGTGTGAGCAAGGCTATGTGCCTGGCTGCAGGTGGGGTGCCCCATGGCCTCTGTGACACCTTGACACCTGGGGCAGTGCAGGTGACCCGACCCTTCTCTTCTACCCCCAGTTCAGACAGCTGTGCCACCTGGCTGTGGTCTATCCACTGTCCCTGATGGGAATATCCTTTGCTGCCACTTGTGCCCAGGGTGCCTGGCTCTGCATGGCACAGGCATCACTGACCCCCTCTGTGCCGCTGCCTCAAGCACTGAACTGGGCAGGTTTGCCCCAGTGGGGCTGTATTTCCCACAGGGGAGGTGAACCCTGTTCCCACAGCCAGTCACGTGCCTGGGCTGCCCATGCCCCCAACTGTGTGCTGGCCCTGCGCCTGTTTGTCACCATACTCTGGTGCCAGGGACTGGGATCTAGTGCAGAGGTGTTTATGTGCCCTCCCAAAAGGTGGGTGGGGGAGAAGGTGGTCCTCCCTCACCCTGTCGCATTGCTGCCCCAGCCTGCATTGGCGCTAGCTGAATTCTGTTTCATATGGAGCCCAGTGCCTCCAAGGACTAGGGGTTGGGGCCAGAGACACCCCACTGGTGTTGGGGACTGTCCTGTGTTTCACCCTGGGATGAGTAGTGTGGGCATGTCTCTGCACTGCACTTGGGCTCTTCCCATATGTCTTGAGGTGGGGAGGAGCCATGTGATGCCATGTGCTTGTGGGCACTGGGCATGGCACACCAGGAGTTCCCACATGTGTGGAGGTGTTCATAGTTTATTATCAGGGAGATGTGGGGGGGCCAGTGTGGCCCTGGGGTATCCCTGGTGTGGTGTGTCCCATACTCTCAGCTCCTGCAGGAGAGGAGGAGGTGAGTGAGACTGGACAAGGGCAGGCAGCCCTGGACAGGCAGCTCCCTGCCATTGTCTGGAGCCAATGGGGTTGGTGCAGTGGGGTGAGGAGGAGAACTCACCTGTGCCTGTAGCACCAGATGGCCCCAGCAAGGGCTGCAGCCATGGTCAGCAGCACTGCGATGGTGAATCCAACACTGAGAGCTACGTTGGGGCTGTCTGGAGGAAAGAGGAGAGTTGCAGGCACACAGGAGGACATGGCTGGACCTGTTGCTGGAGCATAAACCACCATCCTCCAGGCACCTGCATGGGGCCAGGGGCCTCTGCTTCCAGCCTGCATCCCATCCTCATGACTGGCACCTTACCCCATGGGATGAGGAGGCTGTGGGTGCCCAGGCTGCGGTGGCGCACGCGGCAGGCGTAGCTGTGCCCATCACGGGGGACCACGGCCAGGACGCCGCGGAGGTGGGAGTCAGCGTGGGGCAGGATGGCGCTGGTGTTGAGCAACGGGCCTGGTGGCACCTCCTGGCCATCCCGCAGCCAGACCACACTGATGGGCCGTGGGTAAAAGCCGGTGACATGGCAAACCAGCAGGATCTGGGCTGGGCTGGGCATGCGGGCAAAGACTGTGGCCACAGGAAGCTCTGGGGGGTGAAATCAAATGGGTGAGGGGAACTCAAGTGGGTCACTGATTGGCCCCAGTATGTGGGAGGCTTTGGGGTGGCCATGCCAGGGTTGGGCTGTTCTCACCTTGTCTCTCCAGATCTGCCCTCCCATTCTCAATGAATTTCTTCATGTGGTCAACACAGGTGACATTGAGAAGGTACTGCAGTGTCGCAGAGAAGCCAGTGAAGGTGTTGAACTGCCTCTCAACTTGCACTGCCAGCTCACTCTTCTGTCTCCTCTCCCAATGGCTGTTGTCCACATTGAAGCTGAGGAAGTTGTGGGCGTTGTAGGCAAGATGGTAGAATTTGATATAGGAGCCATTGGGATACAAGTCACAGCCAGTTGCACACTGGAACACAAAGGGGTCTGGGGGGGGGGGATGATGTGCAGTGTGAATGCAGCTTGAGCTGGAGCCTGAAATTGCAGCCTGGCATCCACTTCTTTGGGTACAGCCCTTTCGCCTTCCCTCTACACCCCAAGTCATTCTCCTCAGGGAGAAAACTCAAAAGGCTAAAGCTTAATTAGAGTTGAAACTGGCCAATGTTGTGTCAGACAAGAAAGGCCTTTATAGGTATGTTAATAGCAAGAGGAGGTCTAAAGAAAACGTTGGACCGATACTTTTTGAACATGATCACCTGACTAATAAGGATGAAGAAAAACTGGAGGCATTCAATGCTTTTTTTGCCTCAGTCTTTAATCATACTGATTGACCTTGGGCTGCCCAGTGCTCTGAGGCAGAGGACCACAGCTGTGGGAATGGTAACTTTCCATTTGTGGACACTGAAATTGTCAGGGACCAGCTGTTATCAGCTGTTCACAAGTCCATGAGGCCTGGTGGGATTCATCCCAGAATACTGAAGGCACTGTTATAGTAAGACACCTCTTGATTGGAGTCTTGGGATGTCCCTGCTGAATGGAAACTAGCCAACATTATTCCCATTTACAAGAAGGGTGTGAGGGAAGACCCAGGAAACTACAGACCTATGAGTCTAACCTCAGTACCTGGAAAAATTATGAAGATCATACTGGGTGCTATTGTAAGTTATGTAAAGGGCAGTGCAATCATCAGGCACAGTGAACATGTGTTCACAAAGGGAAAGTCGTGTAACTAATTTGATACCATTCTATGATAAGGTCACCTGCCTAGTGGGTGAGAAGAAAGCAGTGGATGTAGTTTTTCTTTTACTAAGGTTTTTGATACTGTCCCTCACAACATCCTTCTGGACAAGTTGCCCAACTGTGGGATGAGTGGGTTCATGGGGTGCTGGGTGAAGAACTGTCTGAAAGGCAGAGCTGAAAGCATTGTAGTCACTAGTGGTGTTCCTCAGGGCTCAATCCGAGGGCCAGTCCTGCTCAATATTTTGATCGATGATCTGGATGCCAGATTTAAATGCACCATTAGCAAGTTCGGTTATGATACCAAACTGGGAGGTTCTGTTGACTCTCATGAGGGCTGAGAGGCCTTGCAGTAGGATCTGGATAGATTGGAGCATTGAGCATTCATCATTGGCAGGAAATTTAAAAATAACAAAAAGCACCTGGGATGGGGTAACACCAAACACAAGTATCAACTGGGAGAGGAGTGGCTAGAGAGCAGCACTGTAGAAAGATATCTGGGGGTGCTGGTTGGAAGCAGGCTCAATAGGAGCCAGCAGTGTGCTCTGGCAGCCAACAGGGCAAACCACAGCTGGGGGGACATCAAACCCAGTATGGTCAGCCAGGCAGGAGAGGGGATTGTCCCACTGCATTCAGTGCTGGCGTGGCCTCACCTGGAGTACTGTGCGTGGTTCTGGGCCCCACCATTTAAGAAGGATGTGAAGGTCCTCAGTGCATCCAGAGGACAGCAAGAAAGGGGAGATGGGGCTGGAAGGCATGTCCTCTGGGGACTGGCTGAGGACACTGGGCTTGGCTTGTTTGGAGAAAAGGAGGATGAGGGGATTCCTTATTGCTCTCTGCAGCTTCCTGAGGAGGGAGGGCATCTGGATAGGGAAACACGGATCTCCCAGGGATATGATGTCTGGGAATGGTTCAAAGCTGCATCAGGGGAGATTCAGATTTAGCTTTAGGAACCTTTGCAGTGGTGGTCGATGTCCCAAGCCTGTCAGTGTTTAAGAGGCATTTGGACAATGACCTTAATATAATGTTTTAACTTTTGGTCAGCCCTGAATTGGTCAAGCAGCTGGACCAGATGATGATTGTATGTCCCTCCCAACTAGTCTAGTCTAGTCTAGTCCCTTCCTGTTCCTCTATGTCACTGCTCTGCTTTATACCAGGTAGAAACTCTGTGGGTAAGAAACCTGTCATGAGCCCTGTAGCTCATCATTCCTGAGCTGCCCCTGCCCACAGCAGGGTTAGGAGACATGGCAAAGTGGGAAGCACTGCTTTGGGGGAGTGACAGTACATGGAGTGCAGGCAAGTAGGATACATGGAGTGCAGGCAAGTAGGATAGTGGCACTCTGCCTGTTGCCCTGCCCTTGGGTCACCAGTGCTGCACCAATGTGTGGGGCCAGGTGCTTCCTCTGTGTGTCCTGTCCCACACAGATGAGTGGAGAGGCCCCTTTGACCTTCTGCTTTACTTTCTCAACTTCTCTGGTAGGATTTTTAGGGGCTGGTGTGAGGGTGTAAGTGGACCTAAATGCAGACAAGGTTTGTGCTGGACACCAGGATGGCCTCTTGTGACCTATGTGTGGGACAGGGTAGTTTGGGATCTTTCTGGTGTAGGATGAGGCCCATTTCCTGCCCTCCTGCTAACCCTGGTTTGAGAAAGCTCTTTGTCATTGGTTCTGAGCTCCTCACAGCTCCCTGCCTTGAGTGAGAAGTGCTGATCACCTGGTACTCACAGGGTGTCTGGTACAGCCTGGCATCATCAGACACGGACAGGATGAAGTTGTGTACGTAGACCCTGAAGAGGTTTTGCAGATTTTCCCACTCCGCTGCAGGCAGGGATGGGTAGACCCATGGTTGGAGGTAGAGGATGTTCCAGGTGTGTTTCTGCAGAGTAGCAAAGACGATGTCCTCCAGGGTGGCCCAGCCTGAAATGTCCACAAAGTTGGTGTTGTAGAAGATGAAGGTTTGGAAAAGGTGGAGTTTCCAAGAGCCTGTGGGAAGAGTGAAGAGAGGAAGAGGCATTGGGGTATATGAGGATGAAAGAGGTCAGGGGACTGCTAGCTCCAGTGATGGTGGGTGGCCTGGGGAGGAAAGGTGGCTTGCAGTGTCTCCAAGGTCAGGCAGAGTGAAATGGGGCAGACAGGCAGGGTGGGTATCATGCAGTTTGGAGGTGCGTTCCCTGGCCTCACTGAGCCTCTCCCTCCTTCTCTAATTTCATTTATTTAGCGATCCACCACCCCAACGTGACCCTTCTAGGAGCTGTCACTTAGCCATGTGGAAGGGATGGAAGGGGGAGACAGCAGTACTGGTTTGGGGCAATGCTTCCCCTGGCAAGGTGTACTCATGCCAGGACCTGGATCCACTGGAGACCTACGCACAGTGCAGGGGCTGGTGGGGCTGGGAAGGAAAAGATTTAGGGGCTCCTGGGAAGTGCTTGAAACCGAACCCTAATGAGGCAGAAGACTGCATTTGATGCTGCAGCGCCGAGTGAGGCTCCAGGAATGTGCAGGGCAGAGTGAAGCCTGTTTTAGAGCAGTGGGTCCCCCCCTGGCCAGGGCATGGAGAGCGCCTGCCCCTGGAATAGGAAACACAGGTTGTGGATGCAGGTGAAATCTCACTGTAACTGTAGGAAGAACCTTCGAGTGTTATTTCACAAGGGGAGAATGCAGAGGATCCAGGAACCCTTTGACTGCAAGAGAAATGATCCTGCAGGCAGAGGGTGGTCCCCAGCTGCTGCTGAAGGAGCTGGAGCATAAATGCAGGGCTGTTATGCTGGGAGGGGCTAAGAACCCCTGCTGCCTGCAGGCTCACTGCAGGAGGAACGCATCTTTGGGGGCACCCAAGCACCCCATGCCTTGCTGAGGGACTCCTTGCCCCTTGACTGATCAGGCATTAGAACCGTAGCGCCAGTAGTGCTGGGCTGGGCAGGATGGTATGAGGCAGGGAACCCCTAGCAGGTGGGCAGGGATGGGGCACCTTTGGGTGCTGTGGGGTAAGGAGTGGCCCCTTGGTGATGGGGATAGTGGCCTGTCTGTACCCACCCCCTACCACCTCTGTGGGGTCCCGTAGTGCAGGGATGGGAGCAGGTGGGGGTGAGCCAGGGCTCCTACTTACCCTCTGGATCTGCCCGTGTCCTAGTGAGGAGGAGGAGGAGAAGGAAGAGGAGGTGGAGGCGAGGGGGTAGCATGAGGCCAGCAGCAGATGTGCAAGCACAATGTAGCAGAAGGAGGAAGGGGTCACAGGAGCCGTGACTGCACACTTCTCCCCAGGGCTGCTCTGCCTGGGCAACTCTGGTGGTACCAGTGTCATGGGACAGCCCTGGTAGCCAATGAGGCTGGTGCTGCGGTTTTGGGGAGGGCCTGGCCAGGTGTGTTCCCCAGGGGGAAGTGGTGTGGCTGGCGGAGGGCTGGGCTGCAAGTACCAGGGAAATTTGGGTGGGTCCAGTCATCCCTTCTGGTTGCAGCAACACCCTGTGTGCTGGGTTTGGTGGTAGGGTTTGTTGGAGGGGGAAGGGCCACAAGAATGGTTGCTGTGAGAAGCTGTTAGAAGCTTCCCCAGCTCCAAGCCTCTGTCACACGCTGAGCCCATTGGCGTCTCTGTGATTAACATATTTAAAAGGAGAAAACAAAACCTGCAGTGGAGTGAGGAATGGGATGTGAGACCACAAGGCACACCCCAAAAGTCAGTGAAGAAAGGCCGGGAGGTGCCTGGAGCAGAGGTTCTCCTGCAGCCCATGGTGAGAGGGCAGGCTGTCCCCCTGCAGCAATGGAGGGGGAGAGGGGAGCAGCCCATGGTCTATGGGGTGCCCCACGCTGAAGCAGACAGTTGCACCCAAAGAAGCCCGTGACTCCGTGGGAAGCCCGTGCTGGAGCAGGGTGCTCCTGAAGGACCGCATGCCCGCAGAAGGGACCTGTGCAGGAGCAGACAGTGAAGCAAACTGCAGCCACCACAAGGCACACCCCAAAAGTCAGTGAAGAAAGGCCGGGAGGTGCCTGGAGCAGAGGTTCTCCGGCAGCCCATGGTGAGAGGGCAGGCTGTCCCCCTGCAGCAATGGAGGGGGAGAGGGGAGCAGCCCATGGTCTATGGGGTGCCCCACGCTGAAGCAGACAGTTGCACCCAAAGAAGCCCGTGACTCCGTGGGAAGCCCGTGCTGGAGCAGGGTGCTCCTGAAGGACCGCATGCCCGCAGAAGGGACCTGTGCAGGAGCAGACAGTGAAGAAAACTGCAGCCTGTGGCAAGGATTCATGCCAGGGAGGTTTGTGGAGGACTGTCTCCCATGGGAGGGACCCCACGCTGGAGCAGGGGCAGAGTGTGAGGAGTCCTCCCCTGAGGAGGAAGGAGATGCAGAGGCAACATGTGATGAACCCCCATTCCCCATTACGCTGTGCCGCTTGGGAGGAGGAGGTAGAGAAGTCAAGAGTGAAGTTGAGCCTTGGAAGAAGGGAGAGGTGGGAGAAGGTGTTTTTAGATTTGTTCTTATTTCTCATTGTCCTAGTCTGATTTTGGTTGGCAATAAATGAATTTCCCCAAGCTGAGTCTGTTTTGCCTGTGATGGTAATTGCTGAGTGATCTCTGTCCTTGTCTCGATCCACGAGCCTTTTGTCATATTTTCTCCCCCTTGTCCAGCTGAGGAAGGGGAGTGATAAGAGTGACTTAGTGGGCACCTGGTATCTGGCCAAAGTCAACCCACCATACCACCCTTCTTAGGGTCATGTCTCTCAGAGTCCCCCAGAGACTCAGTGTGGCTATTTCATGGCTGTCAGGCATACTGGGAGTGTGACTGTCCCCCATCTCTCTAGCTTTTGCATGGGCAGGATTCAGGAGAAGAGTCCTGACCCAAACCCATCCTGGATGGAGGGTGAGATCAGCACTGGAGCTGGAGCAGCTTTGCACCTGCTTGAAACTCTTCCCTGCATCATGGGATTGGAGATGTCATTGGGGTCCTCCCTTCCCCTTCTCTCCCCAGCAAAACAGTTTGGATCCCTTCATTGCTCCCTGGTTTATGGCCTGCTTCATCCCCCATCCCACTCAGCAGACCCATGTCACTCCCCTTCTGATAGGGACAGATACTAGCCATATAGATGTCAAGATATGGGAGAGATTGGCAGAGGAATTGCTTCTGACATCCCAAGGGAGATCAGCCAGTGTCCAAAAAAAGGGAGCTTTCCTTGCTGCAATGTGGAGTCTCTGCGGCGTGGTGGGGGGTTTCCTGGCTGAGAGAATGAGAGCCATAGGAGACATGGAAGTTTGTAGCTCTTTAATGTAGTGGTTTTCCACAGCAAACACCTGTCAGTGCTGATGGCTCAGGGATGGGACATGGAGGTGAGATGGAGCTTGTTGCTGGTCAGACAGCCAGGCTTCAAATGATGAATTCCCGGGTCTCCCATGTGGCCTCATCACCTTTCCTGCAAGGGGAGGACCTTGAGCCATACTTGGGAGTTCATCCATGCAGAGCTGTTTCTGCTGCAATCCCTGGCCCAACCCATCTGCCCATAAACCTGAGAACAGATGGTGAGAAGGAGACCTCACCTGCCCTTCCACCACCAAACTCCTCCAGCAGAGGCTGTGGCTACAAGAAGCAGCACTGCGATGGCAATGCCAACAGTTAGAGCGGCACTGCAGTTTTCTGGAACAGGGATAGAAAAGGGCAGCCATGAGTGTGGCAGCACCAGGTATTAGCTGCCCCCACAGGGCCAATGGCTGCTATGCGCACGCTGCACCCAACCCCATGGGTAGCACCTACCCCATGGGATGAGGAGGCTGTGGGTGCCCAGGCTGCGGGGGCGCCACAGGCAGGGGGCAGC